CCAAGCCTAAGGAATCTCGGATGGGAATCCTGAAGAATGCTAGACCTCTGTAAATTAATCAACATAGCATTCAGCCGGGTCTTTACACTCTGGAAGGCAACCAAAGGGGCTCTCCAGGCTTGAGCTATAGTTCGTTTGCCTGAAATAAATAGGTAGGATGCCAGTTTTTGCTGGACATGGAAAGACTCAAAATAGTACAATGCAGGAGGGCCACTCTTGCATTCTTATGGACTGTAATATGAAATAGCATTTGCAGCAAGCCAAAAACCCTAGACCAGAAGCCTATCAACCGTGGGCATGACCACCAAATATGCAGGACGTCCACATGCTGACCACAGTTCCTAAAGCACCTATCGCCACTACTCAGATAGATGTGAGCAGTCTGAGCCAGAACCCAGTACGCAGGAGAACTTTGTAGGCGGCCTCAAGAGTAACTGTATTGAAACATTTTGCTACAGTCTTCCAGGCCTTGTTCCAATCCTCTGCCTCAATAAAGGAACCTAGATCTCACTCCCATTGAGTCACACAGGACAGAGGTGTTGAAGACCTACTGTTAAGGGATGCATAGAGAACAGAAATGAGACCAGGGGACCCCGGAAAATGTTGACAAGTGTGTTCAAATGGTGTTTTGCGGTAAGGATATGTGGAAGCACGACGTAGGGACATAATCCAGTGTCGTAATTGCAAATAATGGTAATGTTCCCATGGTGCAACCCCCCCCGAGACTCCCGGAGAGCCTCCCAAGATGGAAACGAACGAGTGGTTAGGAAGTTATGCACATTAACAAAGCCATGAGAGGTCCACCAAGAGAAAGAGGGGGGATGTTCTAATCCGGGAGGGAAGAGAGGGTTGTGAGTGATTGTTAAATATTCGGGTAACTTAATGTTACTTTTTCTACCCCTTTTGCCAGAGTCCCATGTTCATAGGCTATGAAGCATAATTGGGGCTCAGGTCCGGGGGGGGGTGCAATTTATGCGGAAGCCAGAGCAATGCATTTAAAGAGATCGGCGCACAGTTGGGCAATTCCAAAAGTACCCATAACAGGATATCTGGCGTGAAGCATGGACAACTGGGAGGTTTGAGCTGCCAAGTAATATTTGGAAACATGGGGAACTCCCAAGCCACCCTGCAGTTTATGGGTATACAGAGTAGATCTAGGAACCCTAGGACGCTTATGGGCCCAGATAACGTGGAGAATCCGGCTTTGCACAAGACGGAGAAAGAACATGAATAGGTAGAGTGCGGAAAAAAGTACAGGATTTTAGGCAAGATAGTTATCTTGACAGCATGTATCCAGCCAATCCATGACAAAGAAGGGAACTGCCAGGAATGGAGTAGAGAAGTCACAGATCAAAATAGAGGATAATAATTAGCTGAAAATAAGGTAGAGTAGGAAGATAATCTAAGGATTGGGACGCCCAATGGTATGGAAATTGTGTCTGCAACTGTTCAACCAGGTCGGTAGGGAGAGTAATATTCAATACCGTAGTTTTGGATAAGTTAATGCTAAGGCCAGGTATAGATTGGGGAGAGTGATGAGGGCATCATCCGCATAAAAGTTTGCCATACATTGGGAACCTGCATAGGGGCCACCAGATATATCCGGATTGTTTCGAATGGCTGCAGCTAGAGGTTCGAGAGCGAGGACAAAAAGGGCAGGCGACCTTTGGGCGTCCCTGTCTCATTCCCCAGAATATCGGGACGGATGAGGAAAAAAAACCTGTGTATTTGACAGAGGCTGAGGGAGACAAGTATAAAGCAGAGATTCAGGCTAGAAAGGCGTCTCCAAATCCCCATTTAGAAAGCGTGTAGGTCAAGTAATCCCAAGAGAGCGAATCAAACGCTTTATATATATCGAAGTATAAAAGGAAATCCAGTATCTTGCAGTGATGTAAGATCTGAATGAGATGGATGACCTTATGTATGTTATCTGCAGCCTTTCTCCCTGGAACAAAACCAACCTGATCTCTGCAGATGAGGGAAAGTAAATCTTTATTAATTTGGGTGCTCAAAACCTCTCAGAATCTTCAAATCCACATTTAACAAAGAGATCGGTCTGAGAGCTTGCGGTTCAAAAGCATCGTCGAATGTCTTGGGGATCATAGTGATATGCGCTTTTAAGAGACTCTGGGGAAAGCCGGGAGCCCTGCTTCAAAGAATTGAACAAGGCTGCCAAATGAGGAACCAGAAGGGTAGCAAATTTTTTTATAGTAGAGCCCCGAGAACCCATCAGGACCTGGAGCCCTGGAGGGCTTCAAGGATTTGATAGCTTGGTAGATTTCAGTTTCGGGGAGATCGGTGTTCAGGGCATCCTGGGCCACAGCGGGTAAGGAGGGTAGGCACAGATCGGCGAAAAAAACTGTCAGCATGCTTCACAATAAAGGCATTTGGTTTCTTGTACAGAGAGGACAAGAAATCTGCATGTAATCTTCACTGGGTTAGAGGTAAGGCCACCACCCCTCACTCGGAGTTAAAACAGGTTTATGTATGCGGTCCCTTGAGTTAAGTTTCCTGGCCAACATTGGCCCCGGTTTATTGGCTCATGTATGAAACCTATGTCCGGCCCAACACAAGGCCTTCTCAGCCTGCGTAGTAGAAAGAAGGTCAAGTTCAGCTGCCATGGCATCTTGAGCTTTCTGATTAGCTACAGTAGGACGAGCTTTTCAGGTTGCATCCACTGTGGCCAGGAGAGAGGTCAGTTCCAGCATCCTCTTTTCTCTGGCGTGTTTCCTGGATGACGCAATTTTGAATCAAATGACCCCTAATGGTGGCCTAGTGGGCCTCCCACAAGGAAATGGCTGAAAATACAAAACCCACATTATCCACAAAATAAGATTGAATGTGTGAAAGTACCTAGGAACAGGAAGCCTGAGTAGTGAGAAGGGATTCATTCAATCTCCATTGAAAAGAGGACGGAGCCATGCCAGTTAGATGCAGTAAAAAATACCAGAGGGTCATGGTCTGACCAAGGCGAGGTTGGGATGGCAATCTTGTATAATAAAGATAAATGCCGTAAGGAAGTGAATACGTGATCTATTCTGCAGAAGCTCTGGTGTGGAGCTGAATAAAAAGTATATTCCTGTGAGGTGGGATGTAGTTCCTGCCAAACATCTACCAAAACCATAGGTTTGCAAAGTATCACGGAACTTAGATTCCTGGGTGAGATCAAGAGTAGGGGGTCACTCCAGTAGGGTAACGGCTGTCAAGAGAGGAATTAAAAGCAAAATTTGTCTTTGTTATTTTTGCACAAATTTAACAGACAAAGCATGAGAAATAAAAAACAACATGTACCAGTAAGTAAACAGAAAAACATCAAATCACAGGTGTGGCTATGATCCATGTGGATGGAAGAAAATGATGCAATACAACAGCAAGGGGGAAGGATCAATAACCATATTACGAAGATATAACAAAACATAGATTCAGGGGGGTATCCCTGGGCGAGATGTATGGAACAAGATGAGAGAACTCCATACAACCATGAGTGTAAACCCAAACTGAGAAAGAGAAGGGAGAAGAAAAAAAAAAAAAGAAAAAAAAAAAAAAAAGAAAAAAGGGAACCCAGTGGTAAGGATAGCAAAGGAGAAGAGAGAGAGAAGAGAGGGGATTGGGAGATGGAAGCTGCAGAAAGCAGAATCAAGGTGGCTCCCCACTTGTATCCCACCGGAGCGACCACATGGCTCCGACCTTGGTAAGCAAACGTAAGCTTAAATGGAAAGCCCCACTGGTACCTGATGTGACGGTTTAAGAAAACTGATGTATAGGGTTTCATCTGTCAACGTTTCTGTATGGTGGATGGTGCTAGATTCACAAACAATTGATACGGGTGGCCCTGGAAGTGAAGATCCTGTTTGTCTTGTGCAGATTGTAGGAGCGATTCTTTCGTGCGGTAATAGGTGAACTTAATTATGATATCCCTATGGGGAACCTCAGACTTCCTCAGACCCAGGGCCTGATGAATACGATCGAACTCCAGGCTGTCTATCGGTATCGCCGGCTCCAACTCTTGGAAAAGCACGGTAGCAGTGGATGTGAGGTCAACGACGATTTCAGGCAGGCAATGCAGACGCAGATTAGCGCGATGGGATCTGTTTTCAAAGTCCTGCAAAAGCAGGAGAGCTGCGTCATGTTCCTTTTTCAGATCTGAAAGGTCTTGCTCATGGTTTTCTATAACCGTGACCGCAGTGTCCATCTGATCTTCAAGAGCGTTAGTGCAACTGCCTAAATCTCCGATCTCTTTAGTGAGATGAGTGGCCAATCTAGAGGTGGCTGTAGTGAATTCTTGCTGCAGCATTGTTTTAAAGCAGGCCAGGAGGTCTGCATCCCTCAAGGTGGGCTGTGGAGTGTCTGGAGGGATATCAGGCAGGCTGTGCAGGTCAGAGGGAGCATCCAGGTCACCTGAAAGGAGCGTTGGGAAAGCCTCCAAAATTGAGGCCAGGGCTTCTGGTGGGAGCGCCGGTGGGTAGGCTGCAGGACTGGAGGCGTCCGTCAGTCTGGCGTAGGAGGCTGCTGATTTCTTCCCCATGTGTGGTGGTGGGGCAGTGGAGGGTGAGGGCAGCGGCAGAGGACAGGATGGGCTCTCCAGGAGGCAGGGTGATCACGGATGTGCCCGGCAGTGGAGGAGTGCAATCACCAAGCGGCCATCTTCAAGAACTGTTCACAAGCGTCCCCTGCCCCACTAAGGCTTCTTTCACTAATGCAGTGTAGTTTGTACCGTGGGTGCATGCATGCAGGAGTTTTGGTGTTCATTTTCATTGGGAGGTGGAAATTCCTCTTTAGGAAGCGTGGAAGGCAACTTCCTTAGACATCATAAGCTTAGCAAAATTTTTACTTTGCAGGCAAAGTGTAGACTGTACAGAGTTTCACACAACCAGTTCCCTATATCCATGTCATTAGCTTCCCTATACAAACAGATTGGATGTATTTTGTCTTCTTCAGCAGTATATGTTTCTCTAATAGCTTTACTGATCACTTTGATAATTCCTTCTGATGTATTATAGGAAGATATTAATGAACAGGTGAAGGCATATGGAGTGTGTATTGACTACACAGAGGTGCAGCTGGAAGCTGTTCTACGACCCCATGCAGAGCATGTGCCTGTTCCTGTTCCCCCAGCATCTTTCGGCCCCACTGGTGGATTGGAGCAAACTGTTACACCGCTTTCATCACTGGCCCAGCAAACCGTTACAACAAACTCAGTGCAATATCCAGGTGAGGAGCTTCAGTTATGCAGAGATGCTGTAAAATAATTTAAAATGTTAATATAGGCTCATAAGCAAGAAACACTGTGAATGAAATTTTCATGCTGCTGCTTCGGTGTTTTCAGATCTTTTTGTCAGATGTTGCTATGGTATACTGAAGTATAATTACAAGCATTTCATAAGTGTCAAAGGCTTTCATTGACAATTGCATTAAGTTTATGTAAAGAGTCAATAATTGCAGTGTTGACCTTTTTTCTGCAAGACTTCTGCAATTCGCCCTGGCATGCTGTCAATCAACTTCTGGGCCACATACTGACTGATGGCAGCCCATTCTTGCATAATCAATGCTTGGAGTTTTGTCAGGACTTGTGGGCTTTTTTTGTTCACCCGCCTCTTGACGATTGACTATAAGTTCTCAATTGGATTAAGGTCTGGGGAGTTTCCTGGCCATGGACCCAAAATTTCGATTTTGTGTTCTCCAAGCTACTTAGTTATCACTTTTGCCATATGGCAAGGTGCTCCATCATGCTGGAAAAGGCATTGTTCATCACCAAACTGTTCTTGGATGGTTGGGAGCAGTTGCTGTCAGAGGACGTTTTTGTACCATGCTTTATTCATGGCTTATTTATGTGTTCTTAGGCAAAAATTGTGAGTAAGCCCACTTCCTTGGCTGAGAAGCAACTCCATACATGAATGGTCTCAGGATGCTTTACTGTTGGCATGACACAGGATTGATCGTAGTACTCACCTTATCCTCTCCGGACAAAGTTTTTTGCAGATGCCCCAAACAATCGGAAAGGAGATTAATCAGTGAAAATTACTTTACCCCAGTCCTTAGCAGTCCAATTCCTGTACCTTTTGCAGAATATCAATCTGTCCCTGATGTTTTTCCTGGAAAGAAATGGCTTCTTTGCTGCCCTTCTTGACACCAGGCCATCCTCCAAAAGGCTTCGCCTTACTGTGTGTGCAGATGCACTCACACCTTCCTGGTGCCATTCCTGAGCAAGCTCTGCTCTGGCAGTGCCATGATCCCGCAGCTGAATCCTGGCGCTTTCTTGGGCGCCCTGAAGCCTTCTTCACAATAATTGAACCTCTCTCCTTGAAGTTCTTGATGCTCCGATAAATGGTTGATTTAGGTGCAATCTTAATAGCAGCAATATCCCTGTGAATTTTGTGCAAAGCAATGATGGCTGCACATATTTCACTGCAGGTAAATTAATATTTGTGTCATTCTCAAAACTTTTGGCCAGGGCTGTATATCTATTAAGTGTTGCACACAGATGCCTAAAAACTCCATGTTTTAAGGCATTCATTGGTTTTTTTTCTGCTGATCTAAAAGCAGCCTATTGTTTTCAGTGTTCCTGTACACACATTAGTGTTAACTTGTGCTGTGTATAGATCAGTAAAAAAAAAAAAAAAAAAAAATCTGCATTGCTGAACAGTATTTTGCATGCGTACAGCAAAATCCAAGACAATCTAGAGGATGTTTTATGCATGTGTACATGTATGCGCAAAAACATGCAAATATGCACATTTACTATGCAGCACATTCTTAAATTTTTGCTCATGAATTTTCTGACAGGAATCTGATGTTTATACAGTGGCGAGAAATTAAAGGTCTACAAAACATGATACAGATGTTATAAACTGAGTTGCAGTTCAGTGACTAAAATAAGTATTTGATTCCCTACCAACCAACAATAACTCTGGCTCCCACAGACTGGCTGTGTGTTTGTGGTACACAGATTAGTTCTCTCAATTTAAGAAGGTGCTCCTAACGACAACTCACTATGTGTATAAAAGACACCTGTCCACAGAATCCTTCTATTCAAAGCTGACCACCATGGACAAGACCAAAGAGCTGTCAAAGGACAGCAGGGACAAGATTGTAGACCTGCACAAGGCTGGAATGGGCTACAAGACCATCAGCAAGAAGCTTGGTAAAAAGGAGACAATTGTTGGAGTGATTATTCGCAAATGTAATAAATACAAAAGAACTATCAATTGCCCTCGGTTTGAGGCTCCATGCAAAATCTCACTTCATGGGGTAAGGATGATCATGAGAAATGTGAGGGATCACCCAGAACTACATGGGAGTAGCTTGTGAATGATCTCAAGGCAGTTGGGACCACAGTCACCAAACAAATCATTGGTAACACAATAGGCTACCATGGATTGAAATCCTGCAGCACCCCCAAGGTCCCCCTCCTCAAGAATTCACATGTACAGGCCCATCTGAAGTTTGCCAGTGAACACCTTAATGATTCAGAGAAGGATTGGGAGAAAGTGCTGTGGTCAGATGAGACCAAAATTGAGCTCTTTGACCCTAAGAACACCATCCCTACAGTCAAGCACGGAGGTGGTGGAAACATTATGCTTTGGGGATGTTTCCCTACTAAAGGTACAGGCCGACTTTGCCACATCGAGGGGCCAATGGATGGGGCCATGTATTGTAAAATCTTGGATGAGAACCTTCTCCCCTCAGCCAGAACACTGAAGATGGGTCGTGGATGGGTCTTCCAGCATGACAATGACCCAAAACATACTGCCAAGCCAACAAAAAGTGTCTTAAACGTCTTACCTCTGTGCTTGCCAACAAGGATTTCGCCACCAAGTACTAAGTCATGGTGTTTTGCTTGGGGATAAAAGTACCTATTTTACTCACTGAACTACAACTCAATTTAAAACCTTTTGTATCGTGTTTTTTTCCTGGAGTTTTGGTTGATAATTCTGTCTCTATCATTTAAAATACGTCTGTGATAAAAAGTATAGGCCCTTCATTTCTTTGTAAGTGGGCAAACGTACAAAATCTGCAGGGGATCAAATAATTATTCCCATTTAAAATACGTTTGTGATAAAATATGTTTAATGGCCTTCATTTCTTTGTAAGTGGGGCAAACGTACAAAATCTGCAGGGGATCAAATTATTATTTTCCCCACTGTACATCGGTACCATGTGCAAGTCCCCCTAATCTGTGTTTTCTCATCATTTGCAAAATCATCCCTTCATGAAGACCAATATATTTCAGCATTTTTTTTAAATTGAACTTTATTTAACTAAACAATAAAACATGCCTGATAATGAATCTTATCTGAATTAATAGTTATACTGTAAATGAACATCATAAAAAAAAAATTGATCTCACAAACCAAACCTGATTAATCTTACGCAGGCTCCAATGCTTCCCCCTTCCTCCCCTTCTTTCCCTTTCCTCTTTTTCTCTGCGATTTCTCATACACTATTACATATTAAGGTATACAGGTTATCTTTATGGTTTATATTTCTGCTTAAACAGCCCCTTGCAACCCTTCCTTTGCTCTACTGTTACTTCCTTCTACCAAGGTACGTCACTATATTTTGTATATTGTGCTGCCAACAATGTTGTTCTAAAAGCTTGTATACTGTATTTTTCTCCGCATTTACACAAAAACATATGGGTCTTGGCAAACACAACTCTTAAACCTTTTAATATAAGAAAACAGCTCAGCAAAGCCATGTCCTGTGAGTCCCTATAATATACTAAATATTTTTTTGTCTGGTAATGAGATTTGAGATGGTCAAGGCTAGTAGTGAATTCACTTGGGTGATTCATATCCAACCCCATTTCTATAGGCAGTAGGCCCGCCTACTGCCTATAGAGTTGCTAAACCCCAAAACAAAAATGGAATGTAGTGCACTTACATGTGGTGTCTGAATTCCTTTTATTAAAATGTTTGTTTATTTTCACCTGGTGATTACTCCAGTAATGCTCTAAAGCCGGCCATGGATGGATCGAACCAGCCGAGATTTGATCCTTGTATGGACAGGCTGATAAGTCAAATCGATGGATCGATTTTGATATAGAGTAGAGCCAGCCTGCTGGATTTTTCTACATGCGATTACTGCCAGAAGCTAGAGCTGCTAGGAGTGAACACTGCATGCTGCCTGTTGGTAAAGACTCCCTACCCCCCACCAGCAGAACACAACAGCACTGCAGGAGGCATTCCCCCATCAACACTCACTGTGTTGATGGGGAATCAAGTGATTTTCTTTCAAATTGCCTTATCCTTAGCAACTTTTTTTAAATAATTCTGATAAGATCTATGGAACTATGGTCAGTGTTTCCTGCCATTAACTCATATTGTCATAGTTTCTCAGTGGTTTTAGATTTAGATGTCGACACACTAATAGTTCAGAAACCACTGCTGTCACTGGCTACAAAGTCTCATATTAACGGCCCAGAACCAATCTGCAAGGTTTTAGATCATGTTATCACCATGCCAGCTGTCACGGTCGTGGCGTCAGACCCCAGACCTTCTCACCAAAACTCATGACCAAAGGACCGGCCGATCTAAAACCGCTAGGTGACGTGCGTAACAACGCCACACTCAGCTGCGCCCTGCACAACGATTGTCCAGCTAATGGTCTACAATCTGTGCCTGCAGTCTGAATGCGCTTGTTACTGGGTCGGGTTAGTTACGCAACTAACCCTCTACTGCCACCACCCCTTTTTGTACAGAGAAAGCGGAAACTCTCCTTATCAATTAATACACTATAATGATTGAAATAATGGTCGGTATAACACACTCCGCAGGCCAGTTATACAGAGATTAAAACAAACAGTAGCGTCTCTTCAAAGGCAGGAATTCGTGAATTGCAAGTAAGTGCTTAGAAACAGTTTAACACTTTCAGAAAGAAAGATTTATTACTAAAAGAGTCAAAACAGGTGCAATAAAATATTTACAAAGAAAATGTAACTAAGAGATATATATACACACACACACACACACACACACAGAAAACGACACAGCAAAGAGATAACAGGGAGAAGTTAAAAGGTTAAGTTACTTGCCATGTTAAGCCTTGAGGTAGCAGATCCAAGTTACAGAGCGAAAGGGTCATTGATCTCCCAGGTGGTATATTGATGTTAAAATTGGGAGATGTGTTTAAAAAACACAGGCTGTAGGCCTGAATCGAAGCTAAAGTCCCCCAGCAAGGGGAGTGGCTCTGAGTAACTGGCCAATCTCTGT